AGCTAAGTTAGAGTAAGATGTGATTAGCCTTGAGTGCCAAAGGAATTTGAGCTTTTTCCTGGGAGTAATTGGAAACCACTGAGGTTTTTTGTTGTTGTTTTGGGGGGGGGGGGGTTGACGCCTGGCAGGTATGGGGAACTGAACCTTGACGTCGTTGTTCTCAGCACCATACTCTCCCAAGTGAGCTAACTGGCCAGCCCAAAACCATTGAGATTTTTCAATGGAGAAGTACTGCTTCCTAAAAATATCTGGAGAATATGGGTGCCACGGATTGACATAGAGAAGCTATGAATGATGTGGGCAAGGTTTGGAATTTAAAAACAAAAACAAATTGAATCTGCATGGAATTGACTAAGAAGTTGGGAATGTAAGATTCTTTTTCAGGAGAGGAGTTAGGGATGCAGAGAGGGACTTAGAAATCATATTGGTAGAAGTAATAGTTAAAGCAGCAAGTTGAACTCTTAAAGAGTTCAGAAAAAGTACAAAATGCCTTCTCACCTGAGCCTTAAGCATAACCACCTGGAAGGAGGAGAGCTGGTGGAGAGGGGAAAAAATCAGAAGACTGTAATGGCAAGAGGCACTGCCCAGTTATGGGGAGAGGTACTGTGACATTGAGTCTCCTGCCATTACAAGTAGACTACTTTTCTGAGACATTTGGCAGTAAAGGAAAGGGAAAGGATGGAGTAAGGCCTAGAGATATAGAGGAAAAGTACCTTGTTCATTTAATAAATATTTATCGAGAACCTAATGTTTGCACTGTCCTTATTAAGTTACAAATAAGTTTATATTCTTTGGAAAAAAGTCAGCCATGCAGTATTTATACTGGTAATGCTTTGCGTGTATATAATATTTTATACTTTTCAATATGTTTTCATTTGAACCTTGAAAAAAAATGAAGTGTACTTAAGATAGCTATTATCTCATTCCACAGATGAGAGGAAATTGAGGTATGGAGGATAAACAGGATTAGAATTCTAGTTGCTCGACTTCTTTTTTTTTTTTTTTTTTTCCCCAAAAAATGACCGGTAAGGGGATCTCAACCCTTGGCTTGATGTTGTCAGCACCATGCTCAGCCAGTGAGCAAACCGGCCATCCCTATATGGGATCCGAACCCGTGGCCTTGGTGTTATCAACACCGCACTCTACCGAGTGAGCCACGGGCCGGCCCTAGTTGCTCGACTTCTAATCAAACATTTCTTCCTTCTAGGCAAAGCATTATACTCAGTATTATGAGGAAGAATAAAGTTGTTGTAACAAAAGTTAAGCAGTGGTAGCTAGAATAATCCCTGGCTCTTTTTCTAGATAAAGGTGATTAGTGTTTCTTGCTAGTAAAAAACAAAACCAAACAGGTCCTTGACAAGATCCTCAAGCCACTGGGTCAAATTTGGCCCTTTCCATGGTTGTAGCTGAGCTGTGAGGTACTTTTATCCTGGTCATGTCAGAGAATGTAATTTCTCACTAGTACATTTTATGAAAAGCACTCAGAACGGTGTTTAATATGGAGTAAACATCATGTAAGTTATTATTCTGGTTAGTCCATGGAAAGTGGAATGTCTCCTTCACAGGGCTAGAGCAGTTTCCATCTATGCCCTATTTGGACTTTTGCCTATTTTTTTCCCTTCCCTTTCAAACCTACCATTCTATAGTATTAGATTGTTAGTGTTTATATTATTATCTACTTTTGCTGTTTCTTACCTTTTGGGGGTTTTTTTTGGGGGGGGGAGGTTGTTATTGGCAGCTGGCTTGTATGGGGATACAAACCCTTGACCTTGGTGTTTCTTACTTTAAAAACGAATTTAAATTTTTATAATTCTCACTTAAAAGATTCCTTATTTAGGTTAAAATATAGTCCTTCACTTTCCCTCTGGCTCAATGACAAAAATAAATTCTCTACTTTGGGACTAGTCTTTTTCTATTATTCTTTGTTCTCTAGGTAGCACAGAGCTGACAGGCAGCACCAATCTCATCACGCACTACAACCTGGAACATGCCTATAATAAATTCTGTGGGAAGAAGGTGAAGGAGAAGCTAAGTAACTTCCTGCCCGACCTACCAGGGATGATTGATCTGCCTGGTTCCCATGATAACAGCAGCCTCCGCTCCCTCATTGAGAAGCCCCCTATTCTTGGTGGCTCTTTTAATCCTATCACAGGGACCATGCTGGCTGGCTTCCGCCTCCACACTGGCCCGGTAAGTCCCCCCTTTGGGAGAAAGAAGGCAAATGGGGAGGCCTAGAAAGCATGGAGGTAGCTTCTTTGTCCAAGTGTGTTCCTACATAACCTACTGAACAGAAGATGATGGGAGCAGATTTCCTCCCTCTACTCACCTGAACCTTCCTTTGATTCCTTCAGTTGCCAGAGCAGTGTCGTTTGATGCATATTCAGCCTCCCAAAAAGAAGAATAAGCATAAGCACAAACAGAGCCGTACCCAGGATCCTGTCCCCCCAGGTAAGAAGTGGTTCTATTCAGAGCAAGAAAACCTGACCTTCCAACTCTGGTTTGCCCTTCCAGTTAAACCCAGTGAAGTTCCTTAGAGCCCTGGATTCCCAAATTCTCCTGAAATAATAACTGATGTACTGGGGTCTCTTGGGCAAGTAGGGAGTTGGGACAAGGACTCTAACAGTGTCTCTGTATCCTTTTCTGGCCATTTAGAAAAAAAGCAATTGTCCTGAGTTGGGGTTTTCCTGTAGTATTGAGTTCACAGCAGTAGAGTATTTTGAACTCTACAGGTGATAGGCACCCAATGTCTCCTACAGAAACACCATCCGATTCGGATCACAAGAAGAAGAAAAAGAAAAAAGAAGAGGATCCTGAACGGAAAAGGAAGAAGAAAGAGAAGAAGAAAAAGAAGGTAGGGTAGGGGCATGTTGCTGCAGCCCAGTGAGTTTCCCCACATATCATCCCTGTCCTTAGAGTTCTTTGCCTCAGGTTGGACCCAAGATTGAAAACCCAGGGCAGGTTGCAGTTTTTCCTGTACAGTCCTGGTCAGGGCCAAGGCTAGTTCCTAGTTGTTCTTACTCCCCCTCCTTTGTCTTCCGCAGAACCGACATAGTCCAGACCACCCAGGTATGGGTAGCTCCCAGGCCAGCAGCAGCAGCAGCCTCCGCTAACAGGACCACTGGACTCTGCCAGGATGGCTTTTCCTGCTGTACTGAACCTGACAAAAACTGCCTTCCAGGCTCTTGGACACTCCCTTGGGAGCATCTTGTAGCTGGGGTAGGGGCTAACCCCTGCTGTGTTCGGTTGAGATTAAAATGTGAGAAGAGAAGGGCCATGCTATTGTAAGGCTTAGCCTAATTGGCTTTCTCATGGACATCTCTTCCTCTCTCAGAAAGCTCTCTTTTCCCCTCCTTTGTGCAACTTTTCTGATTTAGGAATTGATTTGTTAGGGTTTTTCTTTAAAAAAAAAATTACATTTATCAAATTGGCTAAAATGTGGCTGCCTGTTAAGAGGTACCTTTCTATGAGAGTCAGGGTTTAAGACAAGACACTGCTAAGATCTGAGGGAATCTGGGTCTTTTCACTGCATTATCTCATTAGCAGGCAAGGAACCCCCCAAAATGAGATTGGGGAATATGCTCCAAATGTGAGGCAGAAATGTCAATACTTTCCCACAGCAGACACAACTCTGCCGATAATGTTGAGAACCAAGTGCCAGGATTATATTCAGGCTTCACCTGAAGAGCTGTTTTAGGTAGGGCTCAACAGTGTTCTAGCTCAATTTTGTGTTGAAAACAGAATAGCCAACTGAAAAAGCACCCACAGTAACCAGTGTATTTGAATAAGATTGGTTCTTAGGTCAGAAGCCTGTGATCTTTTGAAATGAACCTCTGGCAAGCAAAAGTAAATGTTTCCCTTGTCTTTGTAAGAACTTTTGACTTGGCTCATTCCTTAGTTAAGACAATAAAATTATTTGGCTGATGTGAAAACTTTCTAAGCTTCTACGACAGCAACAACAAAAAAAGGCAGCCTAAACTATCAAAATGTAAAATGAATCCCATTAGTTTTTGCAGCCAGCTAGATAGCAGAAAATATCCATGAGAAGATCCCAACTAAAATAACCTGATTTTAAAATAAATTTAAAATAGGAGCTGGCCAGTTAGCTCAGTTCGTTAAGAGTGTGACCTTGTGACACCAAGGTCAAGAGTTTGGTTCCCCATACCGGCCAGCCACCAAAACAATAAATAAATTTAATACAGAACAGTTAAAACCTGTTGCTATGAGCCATGGTTGTTCCTAGATCAGTGGACAGAAAACCACTCATTCAGCTCATTTTAATCTGGGATTTCAGAACAAGAATTTATATACTCAAGTTATGGACAGTGAAAATAAAGCATTCTGGCCAGTTTACTGAGATTTAGTGTCTGAGAATGCCTGTTATGTTTCTGACAAATGGAAGATCATATATCTTATTGAACTGCCACCCACATATAGTCAACCTGCCTTTAACAGGCTTTCATACCTTGATCACTATCTCACTTCTGGCTATATCCAAAATGAGCTTTACTTTCCAGAGACAAAATCCTGTACTAAGGCAGAACCGTGACACACAAGTCAAAAACTTTCAAATGACAAGAAGTTTTGGTGGTTACAAAAAACTTTTTTCAGGAATTTTTAAATTAAATCACCCAAATAAAAACAGGACCTGTTGTTTTAAGTGGTTAAATTTTACTATAGTCCTGCTTAAAGATGGGCCGGGACCAGAGTAGTTTATGAGATTTTCTATGAGATGGCATCAGAGAGCATTCACCCTGCCTTAACCAGACAAAATAACACAAGTCGGGGGGAGCTGGTTAGATCAGGATTTCTTTTTATTCCATGTTGGTTTAAAATGGCTAATCAGAATAAAAAATAAAAGGGCCTCTGTGTAGAGGCTGGGGTCTCCCCTATTTAGAGGTTAGAACCCAGGTATTCCCTCTGCCCAGCACCATACTGAGGTGGGCTGAGGAGTAACCCCCAAGGGACAATTGGAGGGGCTTAGGCCTGCCACTCCTTTTCTCTATCCCGTTTTTGGCATGTGATGGAAAATATTGCTTTTTGGAATTCGTCTCTCCTGGCCTTGGGTTTTATAATCATGTTAACTGTGTAAGTTAGGGGAGACTCTGAGGGGCCCGTTGAATCAGCGCACCCTAATCTCTCTCCCCCAAGAAGAGGGGATTCTGTAATATTGTTTCTTGTGCTAAGCCAAGATCTTTTCCTGATCTCCCCCCACCACCACCCATGTCATGGAACTGTGACCCCTTTCCTGGGGAAACTAAATGCCAGTAAGCCTAGAAAACCAACTCTCTCCTAATCCTTCCCTCTTCTAAGCAAAACCCGACTCACCTCTCTCCCCAGATTTCTTTCCTGATCACTTAGCCCCAACAGGGAGTGCTATTTCCTTAGTTGGTAACCAGAACAAAAGAGGGAACCATGGAGGAAAAAGGAGGACTTCAGTGTCTCCCCTCTTTTTCTGCTGGTCTGAAGAATGGGTAGAGCACGATCCCCCTCCTTATACATATCCCTCCCTCCCTCTTCCCATCCCAGGATAGATATATAATTTCTTTGATATTTATAATATATATATATATATATATATATATATGTACACACACACCTGGTAACGCAGAAGAGGAAAAAATAGAATCCGTAACAATAATAAAAAAAATTATTTCTGGTTTAAAAATGATCTGGTTCCCTCCAGGGCGAGCAATTGCACAAATGTCCACTGAGTCTGGTCCAGGGATTAAGGAAGGGAAGTTCTTAAAAGGTTAAAGGGGGGTTGCTACCCCAGTCTCAGAGCCCCAACTCTCCAACTCCCCAACCCCACTGCATTTGATAAAACGGTCCTCATCCTCTTGGAATCGGTGGTTTAAAAAATGTCCATGCAGGAGAGGGAAGCCCCTTGAGGGAAGGAAGGTGGCCACCTGGGGCCCTTTGGTGTAGGCGGAGAGGCATGGGGCAGGGGAGGCTCCGAAGGCTCACACCGAAATCTCATAGGTGGTACCACCCACCCCTGACACCTTCTTGACTCCTCCCCTGGTGGGACTACTGAGAGGTGGCTGGCCTGGGCCAGGGGAGGCTGAGCCTATACTCTTGGGCTGCCCATTGGATTTGCTGTAGGCGGTCTTGAGCTGTACTTCATCTCTGGGAAGAAAAGAAGACACAGGTGTCAGGAAGTTGGACACAAAACACAGAAAAGGGAGAGTTTAAAAGATTAAGAGAAAAAAAATTATGTGCTTTTCTATATGCGTACTTTTTTATACAAACATTCTCCTGTTTTATTGCCCTGATTAAAACAAGCCTGATTCCCTATCTCCCCAATTTATTTATTCTAATAGCAGCTATCTCATATACTTACTCTCAGGCAAATAAATACTTTTAGGAAGGCAGGATTAAGGAAAAAGTATTAATCCTCAGTTGCTTCATGGGCAACAGGAATTGCCCATGAAGATAGCTGGAGTGAAAATGAAGCACTATCAGGATACCCCTAAGTCTACCTACACTAGAATGTACAAGTGAAGCCCTGACACCTTCTGTGGGGTGATATGCTAAATTTAAGACAGCTGACGGCCAGAATGGTGGTAATACTTACTTGGGTGTCAGTAATGGCTGCAAGGCCACCTCCTCTGTCTCAGAGACACCAGGTGGGGCTTTTTGGCTGCTGTAAGACATCGAGCGGCCCAGGTATGTGGCAGTTGGGCCTGGTTCAGGGGACCCTAGTCCCCGGCCCCTTAGCCCATCTGGCTTGCCAAAACGGGGCGCAGCTGGGCGTCCCAGTGGGGTTTTGCCCAAGGGTGATCTCTTCGAATCATCTGAGGAGGAACTAGTACGAGGAGCATGGCCTGAGCCTGGTGTTGACTGAATGCCTGAGTCCCCCAAGCATGGTTCTTCCTCGTGGCCTGGGAGTGGGGGTGACTGGCGCAGCAGCTTCTCTCGTTCCTGGAGGGAGGCCACAATGTGGCGCGACAGATTGTCGTAACGGACTGGTGAGGGCTCTCGGTGCGTTGGGCCAGTTGGCACCAAACGTGGGTGCCTCTCAGCTTCCCGTTGCTGAGCCAGCCGGGCTGACAAGAAGGGAGAGGTGTAGCCTAAAGGTGGGTCTGGGTCAGGCCCTGCCTGCACTGACTCGAAATCAGGGCTGTCTGAAGGAGTAAGCAGGCTGTCATAAGAGAGGCTTCCATTGCGTGTCTGGTTGGCCAGGCTCTTATAGGAGGTGGAGGTGGTACCCTCTGAGCGAATGGACTGCAACTGGCCCAGCTCAAAGCCTGTGCCCTGGGCTGACTTGAGGCTGGAGGAACGTGAGCCGCTGGATAGTGGATCGAAATGAAAGCTTTTGCCAAAGGTTGGAGAACGGAAGCTCTCTGGCTCCAAGCTGGGCTCTGAGCGGTAGCTGGGATGGCGGCTGCTCTCTGCAATTGAGGTTGGCTCCTTCAAGCTGTCCCCACGACTCAACTGAGGAAGAAAGTAAAGCAGGCCCTTAATGCTCTTATAGCAGATGCTAGATCGCAGAGCCCAAGGAGTCAGTCAGTCAAAAACAGTATTTATTATGTGCTTATAATTTTTATATGCATTATCTGGTTTAACCTATGAAGAAGATCTATGAAATTGAAACAAATATCTCATTTTACAATGCAGACAACAAGATGAGAAAGGTAAAGTAAATTGCCGATGGCAGCAGAACTGGGTTTTAGACTCAGATCTGACACTGTAATCAGTGCTTTTATCTACTGTGCTACGTTGCCCCTTCTTTGATGAAGGACACTATCAAGGAGATTTAATTCCATTAATGCCAACAATCAGTAAAATGCCCTTAGTTTTCTTCTCTTCCCTTCTGCCTTTTTCTACCCCCCAATCTTTTTTTCCCCAGAACAGTTGGCATATGTTATGATCCCACTTTTTAGAGTGCTCAGTACCTTGGCGCTGGATGAATGAGGCATGGCGGCTGATGTACTGCTGCTACTATAACCTGGCCGATACTTGTACATGGTAGGTGTGGGGGGGCTGTCCTTGCCCAAGAGGCTGCTATCTGCAGGAAAAAAGGCCCAGGGGGCACTGCTTTACAAACAGTTCTCTCAACCTGCCTAGAGTTCCTAAAAGTACAGGGAGAAAACAAGGTAGGAAAAGTATGCCCAAGAAAAGCAAGTCCAGGGAATATGATTTTGCTGAAATCAAGACTAAAGACTCTTCTAGCCCAGAACTCAGGGTGGTGAATGCACCCAAACAGGTCTTAGGATGTTCTCTGGTATGTCTACAGGCTGAAAGTTTCCCCCACAAAAGTCCAAATCACTGTCAATAGCTAGGTGGCATCCTTCTCTTCTAGCTGTCCAAAGAAGTAGCTCAAGTACCACCTGTTAGGTGTTCTCAGCCACAAAACAACTATTATCTATCTCCCAGCCCTTGCCTGTCTTCTCTGCAGCTCACAAGTAACCTTCTCACTCCTGCCTTCTAGTTCTAGGATCTCCCAGATGAAGGCAGCCTTTACCCTCATTAGTAGCCAGGCTGAGGTGAGTTCGCAGCCCCGTGTACCGGCTCAGGTCCGGCTTAGGAGGAGGTGGAGGTTCAGCATCTGCAGACTGGCTCTCTGTTATCTCCAGGCTTCCCTTAGACTGGATAAATGAGAGGAGGGAAAATCAGATTTGGAGAATTGGGCATTAGGGCAACTCAAAGTATTAAATTGGTATAAGAAAGGTACTGGAGGCCCGGCCCGTGGCTCACTCGGGAGAGAGTGCGGTGCTGATAACACCAAGACTACAGGTTCGGATCCCTATATAGGGATGGCCGATTGCTCACTTCGGGGAGCGTGGTGCTGACAACACCAGGTCAAGGGTTGAGATCCCCTTACCGGTCATCTTTTAAAAAAAAAAAAAAAGAAAGGTACTGGGGTGTCAATTATCATGCATTTTTAAATGGACTGAAAGATGAGGCACAAGAGTCAGTTTGGGGATAG